TAGCTCACATGCTTTAGCTGCTTACAGAGTTCTGGTTTCCTTTTCCGTATTGCCACGGCCTCCCTAAGTCGCAGGAAAGCCCGGTCAGCGCTCAAAGAACCAGCTTAAATGCAGTCCATTGGTCGACCTTATGGCCGGTGTCCACTAGGCGCTTCGTGATTGAATGCTTGGGTTTTTACTTTTCCGCCTTGAGTAGCCACTTCGGCATATGTTCAGCCGATCGCCTTTCTACCTGTATTTTCGTGCGCCCGATGTAGTGTCCTCCGCAACTACATGTAAACTCGTAAACGCATTTTCCTGTGACGTGCATAGGCAGAATGTCTTTACTTGGTCTAAATAAAATAGCCGTTGTGATGCTAATGTACGAAAATTTAGCGGTGGTTTACTTGATCCAGTTGGATACATCATTCTTGAAATGGAGGGAAATGCTCACCGGCTTTTTTGGAACTGACATCTTGCGAGGAATCGCTTATCTGCGGTGGGGATAGCCGTTTCTAAGAAACGCTTTTTTGAGGAAACTGAGCTGATCATCGATCGTACCCGAAGCCAAGATTCTACTGGCTCTATTGAACAGGCACGAAAATAACTTCGTTTCCTATGAATTCGAACGAAATCATAGAAGTGCCTGTACTGTGCTTTCCAGGTGGTCTTCCGGCAGAAGGACCTCTGAACGAACTATCCGCCCGCCTGCGTAAAAGCACGTCTAAGAAACTTGATTTGTCATTCTTCCCATACTCGACCGCAAAATTTGATCACACGGAAAGCTGACGTATGCTAGCCAGCTGTTCTTCTCATTTCTCTGGTGGAATTGTTGCACCTTTAACATTTCCTAATGCCTAAATTACCTTGAGCCCGAGCTGCCACTGTATTGGTGTTCAGAGATTTAAATCTACAGGTTGCATACTTTGCGTGTGGCATGAAGAAGTTCCCATACAGTACACACACACTTTTTGTACTGGGCATGGACTATGTTGCATAATTTCGGAGAAACATAAAAAATTACTTATTTGACGCTATTCTAATGAACATTGTATAATCTGAGAAACAATCTTGATAAGAAACTTTCTTAAAACTGAAAGCTACCCTTTCTTTGGGTGTAGAAGTCACAGAAGATGCTATTGATTATCACATGAATGGAAGAAGGCTAGTTGTGGACATCTTTTCTACAAACTGCATTTGAATGCATAAGGATATCGACAGGATATAAGCAAAATTTTTGCTAAGGTGGATGTCAATTTTTTACCTTTTTGTGGCTTTTTCATTCATCCATAGCAAATTGCATTCAAAAGTGGGCACCTTGTTGTTTCCAAAACATCATATAATAATGCCCCACGCTGAAGGATGTTGCAGCCGCATTTAAGTAATCCCTCCAAGTTTAAACTATATTTTAGAGTTTCCGTTAATATTTTATGAGTTTGGTCACTGACTACAAGTGGAGAACTCAGTGCTCTTGGAATTACAAATTGTGGCTCGTTGGAAGCTGACTAATACTCCATAATGTGATTCAAAGTTTTAGACAGATAAGCGAAGCTCAAGGCAGAACGGGACAAATGCTTGACGTTAGTGGTCAGGTGAAAATGTATCAACGAGTATTCAAGGTTTTGCCTACGGGGATTACGGTGCAAAACCGCTTCTCTTCTTTTGTATTAGAAAATTTCAGTTCCGAATATATAGCAACTGCCATTAAACAGGAAATGCAATGCGTGCAGCGTCGATGGAAAGCAGGATAACTAATCTGAATCCATGTAAAGAATATGCTCCAGGGAACACTTTTATTATTCTTCGGCAGCAAACGAGAACAGAAACCGTCTGCAGCAAAGGCAAAGTTGGACTGATTTTGCACAGAACCTAACGGTAGTGTTAATGTAAATTCAGATGAAATCTAGCGTTAGAGACAAGATCTGGGTTGCGGTTAATTTTTGTGCTCTGCTAGGTGTTAGGCAGATGACACGGAAATGTGTACCCCTCCTAGTATTTAGCGTGCGGCTACATGTTTTGTGGATACAGGTATCCCTAATCCCGTGTCCTACCGGGTGAGATGCGAGGCATTGAAACGATCCCGATCTAGCGGACAAAGACTTATACGCGCGTCACTGCTGATTAATTCAGGAGAATTTAATCCCGTGGAATGTGAGTGACCTTTAACGTTTTGCCGCCCGGTTTGTGCGTTATCATCATAAAAAACTACTACGGACTCACGTTTGAATTAGCTCCATCTGGGCTTTTCCATTTTGGCTGCGGCAAGTTATTTGATCGCAGAGGCCACAGGCAATGTGATGGTGAGAAGGCTTCACCGAGGAAAACGTAATCCTTCGGGGTATCGTCCCCACATTCTGTAATCGGACCACCATGCAGCTGTTGAAATCGGCTGGCAAAACTTGTGCACTGCTCAATCATATCGCATTGACGGCTTTGCGCAAGACCAGAAACGTCTAGGCACCAACAGGCCACCCGAATAGTATTTTCCGATACACGGCTTACCGCGTTTCGCGGTTCAGAAGGCTGAAGGCAGGCTCGCACAAGAGTATCCCTCAGATTGTTTTTCTTATCTCTATCATCCAAAGAATTTGCCTTGTCAAAATGGACATATAAATTCCAAGGAAATCCTTCGGTATCCACTAGCGGGCTGGTAAAAAGTTGTACACCCTCGTCTATGCAGGTTAACGCACTTGAAGTGGACTGTTTAAACAAGAGCTGGGACAACTGGAGTTTCAGCCTGGGTCGAAACGCTGAAGCCGGGCTTGAAGTGGAGACATGCGATTGGATCTGCGTCTGAAGGTTGGAAACCAAAGCGGCCGCGGGATCCGGTGCCATATAAACTGTATTTGACTTACGCGCACTTGGTGCTATCCGAAACCTGGCCTGCTGGGTTTCGATATGCGGTGCCACGGTGTAGTCGAAAACTACTGTGAGGATATCGGTATCGTCAAAGAATTTCCTTCGTCTCTTTGGCCTACCCTCCTTTGAATAATAACAATACATGCCAATACGCTCAGGGGGCCATTGCTTTGAAGTCAAGCGAGATGGTGGAACCGTAATGCAAAACCGCCATGGTCTGGGACCCAGGTTTTGCGTTCGTGTATAAAACTTGATACATTGACTGGCTTCAGCTTCATCGTCCGCATATGAATAGGGTCGCTTCCCGCCATATTCTAGGCTCAGTAAGTCACTCTTTGTTGAAAGATGAAGAGGCATTTTTAAGGACGAATTTATGAATTCAAGTTCTAATAAAAAGCTTCCATCGTCGAACAGAAATTGTCCCTCGCTGAGGTAGGAAGTTTCGATAAAGCTCTTTGAGCAGTGGCTTCTATGCTTTGGGGTAAATTCTGCGCCCGGCAGGGAGAAGCTTTGGTTCTCTGAAAAGTGTTGTCTATTTAGTACAATAAACTGCAAGTCTACTGAAAAAAGGAAGTTCACCATCTTCTTATCCTTGAGGTTGGTCAGGTTGGGGACAGTACTGCTGCCACAATTTGGAGAATCAGTCTCTGAAACTGCAGAAATACTGGGAGGACGTGAAATGAATTCGAGTTGCACGTCAATGTGCAATTCATTGCGCATAACTCTTGCCTGCCAGAGAAGTCCAGTGTAGGAAAATTCACTCGTCTGTACCTCATTCCTAATGCCCTTCACAAGACTCGGCGGAATGAGAAAAGTGAATGCAGCCAATAGATTACTTGGCTGCGGCCGTTCTACGCAGCGAATTAAAGGCGCGGTAGTGGTTAATTGAGAATCTGCTAAGATTTGTTCCTTGTGTGCTAGCATGACATGAAAATGAACACGAGTTCATACAAAACTTCGTCAGAGTTCCCGTACAGGTGATTTTAACACGACGTGCACGTGAAACAGTGTCCCATAAAATGTTTGCTGTGTGATTGGCTGGCATCAGTCCAATCAAATACACCGGGAGAAATAAGAGCAGTATAGTGACTATCTGTAAAGGTTCTTTAGGCAGAAAAAACTGTCTCTGTGATACTCTTTTGCGTAAATTTCCCAACCGAAGTTTGGGAAGACCTACTATGTTTGTCCTACTCAAAGAAAAAAATCTGTAATTGGTAGTTTTATCTAAAAAAACTTTTTATTTTTTAAGCAGTTTCGTTTTAATATACAACATGTGGTATAGGTTATTACATGAACAAATAAATGCTGAAGCTAATGACATGTTGAGCTCACCAGAAACGGTAATTGTACATTTCCTATGTCTTATATATTTTACCTGCCATGGCTCCTTTCACCTGGATTATATCCACGTGGCTATTTTGTTTATCAGCCTATATTGCCAGCATGCATACAGAAATGTAAGCGTTCAATTCTCATTTAAAAAGGAAAGTTATGTCGCTGTCAAAGCTGGGTCTAACGGCGAATTTAACAATTCCTAATATAAATCAATCCTAGAATATTCGCATATAAACCTCACAATAATCCTGGATAAAAATGGCCAAATATGATGTGAACTGGGTTTTTATTACAATCAATTGCCCAGATTTATATGAAGATCTTCGTTGAAAGGTTTTTGGTTTTAAAATTATCTTACGTTGCACAAATTCCATTATCCAATGGCAGGTAGTTTGCCATTTGTGACCTAATGGAGGAAAAGCTCGTCAACTTGTAAAAGGATTAGATTCCTAGTTAGCTGGTTTGTCCTGTTGCTAGCTGTGATTTTCTTCAAGTCACAACTCTATTTTTAAACACAGTAACTTGTACGAAAGCTAAAATTGGCTAGCATCTGTTCCTGAGTCACGGCGTTCATTTTCCGCTCCAACTGAGGCAGCGGCTGGGCACTTGACCGATGACCAGAAGAGGAAGGAAAGAGGACTGTCGATAGCAATTAGCGTATATTTCTTATTTAAAAAAGCTGTCGCTTTGAGCATATCACAGAGCACTCAAAGCCGACGCTGGGGATCCTGCCAACCGACGAGATGACTCGGTACCCCTCACAGGACGGAGTACCAGGATTCAATGACTCCTGCCCAATGTTCCCTATATGGCAGTCCGACCAATGGGGAATCCAAGCCGCCATTTCTTTTGTTCGGTGGGCAAAAGCAGCTTATATAGTCCCCTTCATATACCCCTAGTCCCAGCATTTTGTCCTACGAAAACGGTGGTTATAGGGTTTCGGGGGGTGAGAAAATAGAATAGACAGTGAAGGAAATTCTTAGAAGTAAGTGTCAAGTGTAAACAATGTAGTTGAATTCTTGCCCAAAGTTTTTCCGCATGTAATTTCAAGGTGTGCGCGGAGATTGGCGCCGCGGGCTATACTAATCTAACTCCAGAACGGTAATTTGGACCTCAGGTAAGTTGAAGTAAACGACCTTCTAACCACTTTTTTTATTTTTTGGGAATTTAAGAAACCTACAATTTGATAATCGGCTTTTTTAGCAATACGTTTAAAGATAATACAGCTTAGGAAAATCTCCAGATACAAATAAACAAAACTTCTAAATACAATAAAAAATAAACATGCATATAGCAGTTATTAAAGCATATTCCACTGCGTATCTTAATCTCCTATCCACAAAACTCTATAAACACCGTTTTCGTAGGAAAACATGCTAGGAATAGGGATTACTAAGGGGGAATACATAAGCTACTGTTGCCGTTAGGTGGAATCCTGATTCAGTATGCGCTAACCAGACGTATGTGGACGGCGTAGTCGGACTGTTAATTTTTGTTTAGCCACCGTGCTCAGTCCCACCACCTAATACCAACCTGATATATTTGACACATAAAGACATAAAGTTGGTCTCAGTATGATTTATTTAGAAGGGAATGGCATATTTGTAAGATACTTCTGACCCAATTGTGAAATTTTCCGCGGCCTCCCTCTCATTCGAACTAACGCAAGCAAGGGAAACGCTTTAGTACAGCCAACTGAGCTACGAGATATCCACCGGGAGACGTGCGTTTAATCACACCTGGATCGGTGTACCTAGTGCAACTTATAAAATCCACCAATGCTGATACATTCAGCTGACTGCTCCCGCATGTTTTCCTAAGCAACAAATCTGCAATCCACCATACGAATATCAGACACAAACTTAGTCAGTAGGGGTAACAGATTTGAATAATCAATTTTACTGTAAAAAACTCGGCTACATCGATGGGATTGGAAACTGTGCCAACAAGAAGAAGTTTTTTAGTATACTCAAAGCTCTAGCCCATTAGGTTATGTGGAGCCCACTGGGAGGCGAAGGTTTGGTCACATTGGCGTTAATTTACCTGCCATGCTTAATAAATTACTTAGACCGGCCAAACATACCCTTACTAATTGAATGCATGCATGGATTCTAGAAGGGGTTTCTTAAAAAAGAAACCTGTGGGTGAAAACCTGCTAACACATAAACTAAATTCCTGCGCGGTTCTGCATCCTTAACCCCATCATGCTGTGGGCACCTCGGGGGCATCTTTAGAATAGACGTTTAAACTCACTTTATTTTATTAATCTTTTCTTTTGCTCATTTCCGTCTGTAATTTTGCACCTGCTAAGCTTACTATACTACACGAATAAGTTCCGAATTTGTAGTTGACATAGGAAACTATTTGTCATAAGGTGGAAAATTCAAAATACGATTTGTCATTTACTTACAAGATAGCAGCTCCTTTTACTCGAATCAGGCGGGCTATGTTTTGGACATGAAAACATGAGAATTATATTTAGTTGTTATCTTCCAATTCAACCAACTACCATTAAAGTACCGAAACATAACCGGTTGTTTTGCGTCGCATATTTATACAGCGCCCATATTTAAAATGAGAATTCGTGCAAAATACAAATGCTAGAATTTTTTCATGATCATACAGGCATGCACACCAAATATTGATAAAAGTGCGACTTAGGAAAATGCAGAATTTATTATTTACCAGTAGACGCGGAGGGATTGCGTGTTTTAAAGCCATTGGGGTGAGTTTTGTGATTGTGCAGATTACAATACATAAAATGGCGTGAACATAGCCCTCTATAATAAAAAAATCTGGAAAAATTTTTCTGCCAAGTCGTTCTTGGGCGGCGTATGTGATAAAGGGAGAAAGGTTCCTCCTGTAACGGAAAGTTTTCAATTTTTATCTTAACAGGCCCAAATATGTGACTATAAAAAAATTAAACAGACAAAGTCAAACGCAGGGTTATCATTAATAAATGGGGACATAACTCCAGCCGGCTTTTTTTCAAACATCAGACTTGCAGCTCTTATTCATTTAGTCGGTAAATCGGCCAAAAGATTGTTATTTCCGTGTCTCTGTGTTGTTGCCCAAGTGTTTCATTTTTCCGATGGCTAGTTTTCAAGTCACTGCCAAAACGGAAATGTTCAGTTTCATTCTGGAATCAGGATTGACCATTGCACCCCACTCCATTGCGACTAGTTAAGTAATATAAAAAGGGAATTTACACGGGGCACAGTAAAAAAAACTGAGCGTTCCTTTTCAGCTAAACTCTTGAAATGTTATGTATATTTTATATATAAGGCGCATGTAGTGTACAGTTTGCATTCAATCATACCTCCGCAGCAGAAATGTTGGCTAATATCGGTAAGCATTCTTCAACCATTGCCAACATTGTTACAGGAGTTTTGTGGATTTTCTCAACTCGGTTTAGCCAATTGTAAATGATTCGCGGCCATGCTGGGAGTCGAACCCACACAGCAGGGAAGGCTTTTGCGCTGCCAACGCTCTACCAATGGCCTAGGAGGCTCACTCTCAGCCGTGTATTTAATCATACTTGGGTCGATTTAATCCGCCCAAGGTATTGCTCTTGTGGAATCCACCTTTAGCGAACGGCAAGCTGAATGCCCAGGCAGGAGTTCCTAAGCAATCATCTAGAAGCCATCAGAAGTAATAATAGGCCACTTAATTGTTATGGAGGGGGGGGGGGTTGGCAGCTGTTTTAATTCAGTG